ATTTGAAGGGGTTTCAAGTTTCTCCTGATCGTTTGCGCCATCCGTTGTTCCGTTGCCCATAGCTGACATCTCTTGTCCGTCGCTGATGTTTGGTGTGGAACCCGACTTGGCTGACTTTGCTTGCTTCTTAAGCAATTTTTCCTGCGCCTTCCAGCATTTTCTGACCAAATTGGTTTCTGCTTCCTCGAGAGACTGTACGATATTATCGCGTTGGGAAACCTTGTCGGCGATTTGATCGTAGTTGCGGTTGATCCAGATATTGCGAATGCCACCTGGGTAAACGTCGTACAAGCCATCAAGCGCTCGGGTGGTGAGCCATTTAGCTGGAATGCCGGCTACTAGCACTGTAGTTGCGGAGGCGCGAATCCGATGCTGGGGACTCGTCAAGTAGGCTTGCCTGACCCTGATGTAACTCCGGAGCTCATGATAGATGTTGTACAGCACCCAGACGATGGACAAGACGGCAAGAACGACGTGTGCCCAAAGCCGTTTTTGGACGTGTTGTGCGCCCACATTCGCAATGTTGTAAATATCCACGCCATGCTGAACATCTTCTGGTTCGTTGCTAGTGGAATAGCGATTTATCGGCATGAGGATGGGGAGGATGACGACCAGCATGGGCGTGAAGACTTTGAGGAGCATGCGGAGGTAGCGGACGAAGAAGTAGGCGTCCAGGCCGCATTTCTGGATGATCTGAAGGGCTGGGGTTGCGATCACGGGCTTGATCCAGCCGATGAAACCGTGTGGAGGTATGGCGATGCGTTCTCTCTCGGGTACGAGGTAGGTTCGAGGGCGGTAGATCCTGATCAGGCGCCATCGGAGCAGCTGAAAGACCAGAAGTTGGACACCGAAACTCACAAAGGCCGCTGCTATGGCAGCCCAGAGGGAGCCCCAAGACCAGCCTTCTGATCCAAGTGCAAGGCCTCCGTTGCCGCTGAGGATGGAGCCGAAGCTGGAAACGTCGACGTCCTCGGCGTTTACCGTATTGGTAGACATGTTGGAGCGCGTATCCTCCCGGCCAGCAGTGAAGAGTTTGCGGACATATGTAGGGTAGGTAG